TCTTGTTCCAGCACTGGGGGTCTCACAGGCCATTTCAGACCCGCAACAATCTTTGTGTAGGAGTGTCCCTGTCAGGGACGAGGACGAGTTATCACGGTCAGTGTCTGAGTGTCCAGGGGAAGAGTAGGCCACCGCCTCCAGCTCCCCCAAGTTCTGCCCGTTATTGTGGGGGTGAGAGGGACGAGGGTGTAAGCGTCCATTGTTGTGGTTGGCACAGATGGTTTCAAGGCTCCTCTCCTCACTGTCATCAGACTGGGTCCTGGGACAGCTGCCAGACCCGCTGTTGAGAGTGGAGCCAGATGCCTTGGGGACAGGAGGAGAGGGCGGCTCCTCAGCCCGACTGCTCAGGGCCTTTCCATTGAGCTTCTTGGTTTCAAAAGGGTGCTCTACAGAGCCGCTATTGCCAGTGTCCTGAGAGGTACCCTCTGGCACCTCTGCCCAAGTGTGGCTGCTGTGCTCATGGCCTGGGCCATTGCTGGGATTTCTAGGAGTCTCTTCTTTAAAAGCGTCTGTGCTGCAGCCTTCAGGGGGCAGGTCCTGGTTCCTCTGGGCCACTGCTATGTTTAGACAGGCTTCCTTACTGGAAGAAGGGGCTGGGTTGTCTTTGTGGCTGGTTCCTGCTCTCCCTTCATCTGCCTCGCCGGTCACCAGGGAGGTCTCTCCATCTTTATTATTTGAGTAGGATATATAAGAGTAGCGGAGCCACTTGTAAGCTTTATAAATTTTTCGCTCAACTGATTCTATGTCAGAAGTTGGTGATGCCCGGCTTGGCTGAATCTCTAGAGTGGAAGTGCTCCGCTCAGGGGAGGAGGTGGGGGAGGAGGAAAGGTCATCCACTTTGATCTGGGGGTAATCATAGTTGTCTTCTCCGATGTAGGTGCTGGTGGGCTTGATCGGGGCACTGGGCCTCTCTTCTCGGGTTGTCTTCTGTCGGCGCCGCATGGCATTCCGCTGCCAGGTACAGGCTCGGCGTTCATTCAGCTCCTCCTCATCCTCGGAGCTACTAGAGCTACTGGAACTGCTGGATTCATCTTCGGGGCTGGGTGACCGTGGCCGGGGAAAGAGATCTGTGTCTAGTTCCACCTCACAGACATTCTCCTCAGAATCGGACTCATTGGAAAGGGCCAGGAGGCGTTTGTCTTGGTAGCGCCGCAGAGCAGACAGACGCTGCTGGCGAGAGGCTGCGTCCTCACACGTGGGTGTTGGTGGAGTTGAGGCCACTGCGTTTGTGGTGGTGACCCGCAGGGGCCCCAGGTGGAAGGCGCTGTCGGCAGACTCATCTACTGTGGGAGGCGGGGAGCGAGGCAGCGAGGCCGAGGACTCTGAGTCAGTGTAGCCTGAGCGCTCGCTGACCCCTGCATGCAGTTGGAGGATAGTACTCTCACTGAGGTCACTGTCTGAGTCAGAGCTCCAGCCCTCGATCTCTCGGCGTACCAGGGAGTCAAAGAAGGCCATCATCCGAGGGTCTTCCTGGACCGACTGATTGGCGTAGTCATGAGACAGGCCACTCCCACTGTTCAGCACAAGGCTGATGTATTCCTCATGGGTATAGAGGCAGCGGGAATCGTCCTCAATCCGACCATCGAGGTCTCCAGTGCATCCTGGCTGCTTGTATGGGCTCCAGATCTGCAAGAGCAACAAGGAATCACTGGAAAGTATTCTTTGACTGATGATGATAAAGAACATCAAGGCAGAGCTTCCCCAGACACTCCCTATAATTTAGCTAGGACTTGCTAACCAACTTAAAAATATGTTCTTTACCAGACAGGGTCATGTAGGCTGCGTATGAAAACCGAGGCTTTTAGACTCAGATGTGGAGAAATGCAGAACACAGTATTAGCCTAGTGTCAAGAGACCTAAGTCCTGTCGCTAGGCCCAGGGTAATCGCATACTTTCTCCACCAGAATCTTCCTCCCTTTTAGTTTCATCTATTAGTAGTTGGGCATTATAATAATAATCCCAGAGGATAGATGATGACCTGAAGAATGGCCAAGGTGTTAACGACTTTCAGAAGACTGAAGCTGTACACAGATACCACTTTTCCCAAATGAAAACAGACCCAGCACTCAGGCCTCTATGGCAATTAAATATCTGAGCCTATAGCTCCACTTCTGGCCAACTGCAACATTCCTATTTTTAACTAATGGGAATTGCTCACTGGAGCTTGATAAGAATAGTCAACTGCCTACACTGCAGTTCCCTCTTGGACATACAGGCATCAGTTGCCCAGGAAACTGGGTTCTCTTAACCAGGGAGCTGCTGGCTTGCTCTCCAACAAGTATGTTAGCTATAGGAGTAGGTAGGACACACGCCTCAAGGACAGGTAACTGCAGCCCCACTCATAATGGCCCTCTACTCCATCGTCAGGGACATGGACTCATAGCTAAAAGGCAGCAGACCTAGGAAACTCAAGTCTGCCAGACTTAAAGGCTCAGCTTTACTGTTATGCAAAATCAAGTGCAAGGTAATTAAGCTGTCACCGCGAATGAGAACGATTAGCTCCACTTGACAGCCAGACTAGTTCACAGCAGCACAGAGCAGCCCGGTTACATCAGCCTGTAGTCATGGCAACTCAGATGAAATCCCAGGCAATCTTCTTGCCTGACAGGCTGGTGTCTATCTTTAGATGGCATCCAACCCAGAAAACAGTGGCCCCTCATCCCCCATCCTCCATCAAGACCGAGACTTTGTTTCCCCAAAGCTATCTGAGGACAAATGCATGTCACCTCCCTGTGGGAATTCTCCTGAGTCCCATTCCTACCATGTTTTACTTGGCAATTCCTGGGAGGTGGTATCTCTGCAGAGGACCCCTCAGTTCCAAAGAGGCTGAAGAAACCTTCTAGATGAGCCTCTCTACCAATTCCCAACTCAGATTCATTCCTCTTTCAACTTTGTTCCCTACCCATAACTCTAGATGTTACTCAGATGTTCTCCCCTCTCCAGCTTCGTAATCTTACTCAGGAGAGTTTTAAGGGATTGGTTTTCAAACTTTGGACTGCACAAGAATCACCAGAAGAGCAATTATAATGTTGATTCCTGAGTCCCACTCTTAGAGGTTCTGATTCAGTAAGTCATGGACACTCGGTAAGTCCATGGATTTTTAACTACTCAAGGGATGAGTGAGTAGGTAGACCAACTTTTGATAAACGCTAGACTACAGTTACCATAAAGTAAGTAGAATAAAATAAAGGATTTATCTGAAGGTTTACACATGGTCTCCAGCATGTGGCTTAAGCTATAAATTACTATCTCTGCAAACAGATGTCTAAGGGAATAAAAGAGCTTGATGGCTTAGAAAGGAAGCTGAGGGGTCCAAAGGGAAAGCCCTTAGGATGTTTTTTTGTATCTTATTCATAATTCTGAGCCAAATTTCTAACCTCTCCAGTTTAAAAGTGGTAAAGTGTCATTAACCATGTTCTCTAATACGAAGATTTTCACAGAAACTCAGAATTTGTTAACAAAAGTGCAAAATAACAAAGGTGAGATGTTGGCTTAACTCCTCATCAAGCTCGTTTTTAGGTTCCAGTGTATTACTACCCAGCTCCCACATTTTCCCTTCAGGAATGAAAGTCATAACATTGAAAGTTAGTTTGCGTTTGGGCTCTGGAATGTATTAAGCTGAGGTAGACTGTTCATTCCTGAAGCCTGGAGTAATGGAATAAAACACAGGATTAAGAGGCAGGAGTCCTGAATGTGGGTTTCCACTCACTCCTAGTTAGCGGGTGATACTCAGCTCCTTCCTCTAAACAGTAGATTGGATGGGTCTCATCCAATCCTAAGATTCAGAGCAAAGCAAAACCTTCACGCCAGGCTGCCAGTCTTCAATCCTCAAGGGACTCACAGTACAGTGCTTCAGGAGCAGGCAGGAACTCCAGCCCTGTCATTTCCGATGGCTCTGAGCAAATGACCTCACCCTTAAAAGCCTGTTTCTTGTATGTATAAATGAGAATGATACCAAAGCCTATACCCAACACCAATAAATGTGATGTTTTCTCAATTGAATGCCTCAACCAGAATGTTAAAACTCACCCTCAGAGATTTCGGAACAGCAGAAGTACTGACTGTCCTCATCCTTAATATTAATGTATCAATTTCAACCGTTTGTGAAATTGGCAATTTCTTTACACCGAAAGTTAACAACTCAGAAGGGAATCAGTGAAAAACCAACTTCCTGTTACATGTTAAATGTGGCTAGACATGCCTCATCATGGGGCAAAATTCATCAGAAAGAGCCAGGTGTGGTGGCTCACACCTGTAATCCCAGCACTTTGGAAGGCCAAGGCAGAAAGATCACTGGAGCCCTGGGATTTGAGACCAGCCTGGGCATCATGGCAAAACCCCGTCTCTACAAAATAACACAACAATTGGCCAGGAGTGGTGGTCTGCACCTGTAGTCCCAGCTACTCAGGAGGCTGAGGTGGGAGGACAACCTAAGCCCGGGGAGATTGAGGCTGCAGTGAGCCATGATCATGCCACCCAG